GTTATGGTCAGTTATGTTAAGAGCACTGAAATAGAAGTTGGCTCCACCTTATTTTTTGAAATTGACTTTGAAGTTTTTAGTGTACCATTGCTTAGCTGTGGCTTTTTCTCTATTTGGTCCTACACCCATTACATTTCCTTAGTAGACAAAAATTAAATTCTCTTTCTCCTTTCCCTTGTATTTTCATTTTCTAATAATTATATTATTTATTTCTAAAAAAAAAAACTATATTATTTATGGTACATAGCATCACAGTGACATATGAAGCCAACATCATTTTGAATTTAGGGTTTTTTTTTTTTTATTTTTTCTTTGTAACTAATTTGGATAAAGACCGGTTAAAGGACAACACCACGATTTAGTAAATACATCACATATATTTCATATTTGGAGGCAGGAGATCCGTTGCACCGTTCACATTTAGACAATTGCTGATTATATAGAAGGTCCTATTCTATTTATTTTATTATATTGTAATATTAAAAATTAATTAAAAATATTACAATGTTTTAATTTGAAAAAAAATACTTTATACAGTTTTAAAACAATGGGTTACACAATAGGAATAGCCTTTCTCTGGACTCATTAAATTGGTAAAAATACTTGTAGTGAACAGAATTCGAGACCTTTCACTCTTCAAATAAGTGAAAAGATCGATCAAACTACATCTGAATAGCAAAAAAATAAAAAATAAAAAATAAAAAATAAAATTAGTAATTTGTAAACTTCCAAAGCCAGCTAATATACAAAGTGTAGCTAATAGTATATACGTATATATAGGTCATGTGAGGCTAATGGAGTAACATGGGTGATGCATGAAATTAATGCAGGTGATATGACTAAGGTGACTTATATATAATTATCCTGGCATGTGGTATGTAAATAGATTTCTATATATAATTCTTAATAATGTGAAGGCTTTGTATGTGTAGCAATGTGTCATGTGAACCTAACATGTTACTTCTTGTGAAAATATATAAAGCTATAAATTGCAAAATTTCTTCCTATTGGTCACAAAAATAGCTAATAATGGTTTTTCGATTAAGGGCTTCGTCTCTAAAATTGGTACTTGCTCGGTTCCTAATACTGAGCTTTGGGCTGTTATGGAAGGGCTGGAAATGGCCAAGGATTTGGATATTCAGGTGGAATGTGATAGCCTAGTTGGGGTCCAGTTCTTGAAGGAAACAGTTCAGTCTTCTGGCGCTCTTTAACAACTAGTCATTGCCATTCAATACTTGTTTCTTCAATTCACTGTATGTGAGGTTATTCATGTGTATAGGGAGGTCAATTTCTACGCAGACTCTCTCTAAAATTGCTAGAGACTATTCTTTGGGTACCTATATCCTCTTCAACCCTCCATCAGGATTGTTATCATGGATTTTGCATAATAATATGGATATCTCGTATCTTAGATTACCGATGTTTTCTTAGAGCTTTACTCTCTTTTCTCAGATCTTTGCTGATTTAGGAACTATTCGGTGACAACTTTTCAACTATTTTCGAATGTTTTGATTTAATTAAGATATTATCTCTGTTACTTATGTCGAATGTTGTAACATTTATACTAATGTTTAATACGCCTTCTATCCCATTTTGTTTGCTTGTTATTCCTTTTGTATGTGCCGAAATGTTTACAAGATTTGTAAATTTATATATTTAAATAATTATTTTTTTTGTAATAACTTTTATGTTTGTCCATTAAATGAAGGTATTTTATTAATATCTTAATGAGTTAAGGGTAAAAAAAAAAAGTACTCCCTTTATTCCAAAATATAAGTCATTTTTTGATGATTATTTTGTCACATATAAGTCGTTTTGAGTATTTTAAGGAGTAATAAATAATGTTTTTCAATATTACCATTATTTACATTAGATATAATAAATTATAACTATTAGTTTTGAGATAAAAGATAATTTGATCAAATTTCTCTTAGTTATATTATATGCTAGGAGAGTTATTTACTTCCTTAATTTTTGTATAAAAACTTTAAACGATTTATATTTTGGGCAAAAGGGAATAAAATAATTTTTGTAGACTGAATTTTTAGTGGCAATGAGGCAAATGTCATATTCAAGGTTTCAGTTTTTTAATGAATGTCATAAAATATCAAATATTAAGAAACTAACACATTTGGTCAAAAATAAAACAAAAATACTTGAAGTAACCTCAAACGATGTGAAACTAACAGATTTTGTCAAAAGGAAACGCTGAAAAAAAATGAAACGCTGAAAAAAAAAGGAAACGTTAAAAAAAAGAAAACACGAAATTTATAAGAGCAAATCCCTATACAACTTATATGATTCAACAACAAGGATGACGACCGGTAACGACGACCATAACAACGGTAAATACGATATATACAATATATATGGTGTATATACTGTATTGTAATATATATAACGAATATATACAATATATATGGTGTATATACTGTACTTGTAAATATATATATATTAATATATATATATATATATATATATATATATTTATATTATACTATATATTAAACCAAGTAAAAACGGTGGGTGTATATATATACTGTATCAGTAGATATAGTAAAATCAAATTACAATATATAGTATACAATATATATGGTGTATATGCTGTATTGATTAATATAAATATATATATATATATATTATATATATATATATATATATATATATATATATATATATATAACCAATTAACACAATAGGTTAACACCCCAAGTAAAACGGTGTGTAATATATATACTGTATCAGTAATATAAGTAAATCATTAATATATATAATTTGTACAGTATCAATCCAAACAGAATCAAGCAGTCCCTACTTTGTCTCTACACAAGCATAAATAAACAATCCATGGCGTGACAGTGTGACAGTTTTTCCAGCAAAACATTAAAGTCACTGATATGCTCATACGAAAATGAAATCGCAGAAGAAAAATAGAATCATGTAATGACGCCAATAATGAAAAGAACACCTGATGGTGAAAAAATAACAAAAGTAAAAGGAGAAATAATGAATAAGATAAATAATAGTCGGCGACAAAATGAGAAAGACAGCGAACACGAAAATAATGGAGACTTGCAAAAGATGGCAAAGCACAAAAAAAGAAAATAGGAAATTAAATAAAAAATGAAACACTAAGCAATTTAAAACACTATATATAACAATACTATATGGTGTATATACTGGTGATTGTAAATATAATATATATATACCAATTAACACATTAGGTTAAACCAAGTAAAAACGGTGTGTATATATATACTGTATCAGTACATATAGTAAAATCAATTATATATATATTGTACAGTATCAATCCAAACAGAATCAAGAGTCCTACTTTGTCTCTACAAAGCATAAATAACATCCATGGCGGTGACAGTGTGACAGTTTTCCAGCAAAAATTAAGTCACTGATATGCTCATACGAAAATGAAATCGCAGAAGAAAAATAGAATCATGTAATGACGCCAATAATGAAAAGAACAACTGATGGTTGAAAATAACAAAAGTAAAAGGAGAAATAATGATAAGAAAATAATAGTCGGCGACAAAATGAGAAAGAACGACACCGAAAATAATGGAGACTGCAAAAAGATGGTACGAAAATGAAATCGCAGAAGAAAAATAGAATCATGTAATGACGCCAATAATGAAAAGAACAACTGATGGTTGAAAATAACAAAAGTAAAAGGAGAAATAATGATAAGAAAATAATAGTCGGCGACAAAATGAGAAAGAACGACACCGAAAATAATGGAGACTGCAAAAAGATGGTAGCAAAAAAAGAAAATAGGAAATTAATAAAAAATGAAACACTAAGCAATTAAAACACTGATAATTAAAATGGAAAATTAATAAAAAAAAAAACACTAAGGAATTAAAACACTAATGCCTAACAAAATAAAAAAGGACATAAAACTAAAAACAAACCGAAACTGACAATAATTTAAACTGAAAAGTCAAACTGACAATATCTAAACATAGGTTAAAAAATATGACATCTACTAGAATTACCTGAATTTTTAATATATATATTTTTGTCAAACTATGTAAATAAAATTGATTGAGCGGTATATTTCAGGGAGTGTTGTGAAACTTTGAAATAACTACCTCATATTCTACTTTGTGTATCTCCTTATTGATTTTCCTTCACTTCCTTCTTTATCAATGCTTACATTAGAAACTTCCATGAAGCTCCAATTTTATGGGCATCCAACAAATAAAGTCCATTTAGAACACTAAACTCAGGCCCATGGACCTAATTTTTGAAATGGGCTCGACACTTTTCTAATCTCTTTTGTTTCAGACGCCATCAGTGGAGCCTCAGCTTCATCATATCATCATATAGTATGATTAATTTAAGGATTTTGTCTTTTAATTTTCTTTTTTTTTTTTTATAAATTTTAATGTAAAAGTCACCTATACTTGCAAAATATTACATGTAATGATAATAGTTAGATTCAAATTTGGTTTGATTTAAGTGAATTTGAAAGTAACATTATAAATCAAACCAACTATTCATTTAAAATTGAATCAATCATCATTTATTAAAATCACTATTTACTATTCGATTTGATTTGCTTCAATTCAATTTGGACAGTTTGGTTGGTTCATGATAAACACATGCAAGAGGAAAAGAGTTAGAAAGTCACTTTAGACGTTACCATCGGGTTGGTTCAAATTAAAATTCTATAGAATCAAACCAGGAAAAGTTCAAACTTAACTGGACTAGAACTAAGAGAGAGAGTTTTGTTCCAATCACTCCTTTGAGATTTTGGGACCGAAATCAGCTTGAAACCACTAATTGAACCAGTGATTTTGGATCAATTCGGTTCTTAAATTAAAGGAAGACAGAGGGTAGGAAAAATCTAACCGAAGGGATAGGTCATTGGGCCTTGGGTGGGTCTGAGATCAGCCTTGAACTGGTTAAATTGGAGATCGAGGCAAACGGTAAAGGATAGAGCTTGTTAATTTATTAAAAAAGTAACGGGTATTAATTTGCTCTTTTCTATACGACATCGCATTACCCAGCTCCCTCGTCTCCACGTTCTAGCCTTCTCTTCTCTTTTCAGTGACAATCTCAATTCAACGCTTGTTATTTCCTAAACCCCAATTCCAATTTCTGTTCGATATAATCACATTTTTTTATGAAATAAAATCTCAATTCAATTAAAGTTTGAAGTTTTGGAAGGAAAAAACAAGAAAAATGGAAGATGCAGAATGAAAAGAGCTGAAATTTTGAAGAGTTAGAATACAAAAGAAAGTTCTCAGAGGAGAGAAGCAGGCAATTACATTATATGCTGTGTATTCAGGTTCATTATTTTATCCCGACGTCTTTAATTTTTGTTCGCTAAATTGATTTTCTTTTGCTGCAATTTCTCTTTTTTCATGTTTGATTAGACAAAAGTCCAGATAATCTCCCTTACCTGACGGGGGTTACGCCATTACTTTGGGTATTGTCGGCTTGAATCGACCGTGTCGGAAGAATCGTATTCGTATCGATACACCAAATCGGCCGATACTTTAAACCATGCTTTTCGTCTGTAATTTTTATCTTTATTATACTAAGAATGAGGGCTATTTAAGGTGTTACTTTTTCTTCTCAGTTTAATTTTTTGTAGTGGACAAGCAGTTGTGATGAGATTTAGTGTTGGATGCAGAATTCATGGCAAGAGTTAGGGATAGAACAGAAGATTTTAAAGATGCAGTTAGGCACACTGCTGTTTCGTCGGGGTACGATGAGGTAATCTTTTTGTCTATTAATTCACTCTAATCTCGAATTTGAGTTTTTCAAGTGTCAAAACTTAGTTGTGTGTTAAATTGCAGATTCTAATCTACTTATTTTTTCAGATAGGAAATTTGTATTCAGGCTTGAACATGAATGTTTGCTCTTCAAGTGATAATTGAATATTTCTGTTCATGATATTCTAGTAATATTTAGTTTGAATATTGGAAACATATCCTTTTGTTTGCATATCTTGATAAATTTTCTTATGGAATTCTTATTTGGTAATTTTGCCTGTGAAAACAGATGTTTGTAAGTTCTTTTCATCTTTTGTGATTTCTTACTGTTGTTTCTGATTTCTGTTTCTCTATGTGGTGTTATTTCCTTAAACAGTCCAAATTGGCAGCCATTTTGGCATCTTTCATTATTCATAAGCCTCGACAGCGCTTACCTTTTACCAAGGCTGCACTAACAACGGTATGTTTGCTGTTGGTACAACACCATTCTGATTAACAGAAATATCAGTGGAAATCATGGTCAACTTTATTTCTTTGCAATTTTTTACCTTTTTCATACTTTTTTGGAAAGAAATTATATATCAATAAGTTGTGAATATCTTTTTCTTTCATCTGGTTTATTAGCTCGAAAGCATCAGCACTTTGGAACAGTTTATAATAAAGCATCGAAAGGATTATGTGGATCTTCATCGAACAACTGAACAGGAGAGGGATAGTATTGAACATGAGGTAAGATCTTGAGCATGTTCCATTGTGGGGCCTTTGTGTTTCTGGATATTATAGAAACACTGGGGAATAAGTGATCTTTGATGGTCAACAGAGTTTGATAAGGGATGCAAATGAACTTAGTTACATTACAATTTTTTTCTTTGACATGTTTTTCAGCTTTTATTAGCATTTATTTCATGCAATTGTCACATTAACCTGCAATTGGGTCAAGCTTAGGTGGAATTGGGGTTTCACATCCCTTGGTCTCATTTTGATGAACTCATATTGCTTTGTGCAATCTTTTCCCAGAATATAGAAAAAAACCCTTGTTAACCGCTTCTTTTTCATGCTACATGCCTTTAAAAGTTTATTTGATGCATTTTCTAACTACTTTCTCTTGAATGGGATTGATCACACCTCAATTTTCTAGCAAACTGCTATCTTGTATTTACTTTTTGTTTGTAAAAACAAAGCTTAGATTTTTGACTTGGCCTTTTTACCTTTTTGTTAATATTCTAGTAAATAAGACTGTTTTTCTTATGCATTTTCTGATATGTTAATTTTTTGCAGGTTATGGCATTTATCAAAACATGTAAAGAACAAATTGATGTTCTTAAGAATAGCATAAACAATGAAGAAGCAAGCGCTAAGGGCTGGCTTAGCATTAGGGGCAGCTCCAATACTGATACTGTAGCTCACAAACATGGAGTGGTATGATCATGCTCTTCTTAATATAAGTTAAGCTTTTTGGTTATGTATGAAAATATATTGGTCAAAGGAGCATAGGGTTGGAACATTTTCCCTGCCTTAAGCCCTTAAGAAACCGACCTGTTTTTTCTTCCATTTATTATTATAACTAAGCATGACAGAAGATAGTTAATTTTGTCTGGATGATGCTTCTATAACTCAACTGTATTAAGAATAGTAACACAATTATTCACTGTTGAGTTCTGATGGTAAATAGCATAATAAATTGATGAAATCATTGCTTGGAAGTAGTGTTATCATAAGGTTTATTTATAAATATATGCTATTAACATACGATCTTTAATGTTGACTTCAGTAGTAAGGGCTTTAGGAGATAAGAAATGATATAGTTTGACTCTTGATTACTGTTCTTCAAATGTGAACTTTCATAATGTTGGCTATTATACTTGAATGAAAGCTATATTTAGATTTCAACTTATATCTATAGAGGGGTAGGTGTGGGTGTGGAACAGAATTCATTACCTGTAATCTTTGTGCTACCTGAAGGGCATTCATGCATGGATAACATTGCAAACAAATATCTCAAATCTCAACTGAATATTTACTCTTAAATATCAGGACTTGGTTTGCCATAAATATAATTGGCATATGCAAGTATCTAATTTATCCAGGTTCAACTGTGGTTGTTACCTTGGTATCATTGTCCATATGGTCCACTGTCTACCCAGTAATCTAATGGAATATCATGTACTCCTTCGAATTGTCTGATGTGAACAATCTTCTTTGTCATTCTAGTATCTTGTCTACGTTTCAGTCTGAAGGTGAAGTTTATTATGGCTAATTCAGTACTGGCTACTCAATTCACCGTATGTCTCCAAAATTACTGCATAATGATGCCCATTTTTGGAATGAAATGATGGGAATTAGTTAGCTGATTTAATTACCTGTTATGCTACTTATGTATCTGCAGGTTTTGATTCTAAGCGAGAAACTCCATTCAGTATCAGCACAATTTGATCAACTAAGAGCCGTACGCTTCCAAGATGCTATTAATAAAAGGATGCCGAGAAGAAAACCTAATCGGGTTGCAAATCCAAGTTCCACAGATTCATCTAAAATGAATAATTCAGAGCCCAGGGAGCCTGATGAAATTCAAACAGATCCTCTGAGAGTTCAGCAGCAATTATTGGATGATGAAACTCGCGCACTTCAGGTAATATGCCTGCTTCTTGTTTGATGAAATTTGTTCAACTTTTCTGTCATCTCGCCCTTCATAGTTCAGATTTGACCTTTGAGGCCCTTGTAAACTAAATCTTAGTGCTGCTGCTGCATTTTTATGCAGGTAGAGTTGGCTAGTCTTCTTGATGCAGCTCAACAAACTGAAACTAAGATGGTTGAAATGTCTGCGCTGAATCATCTAATGTCCACTCACGTCCTACAACAAGCACAGCAAATAGAGCATCTGTATGAACAGGTTAGGAATTCTTCTGTCATGGTTACATTGTTGCCATCTGTCCTATCATTTTTACAATGCTATTAAGCTCCTATGATCTATTAATTTTGATTTGTGTGCATAAAACCATTTCCCTTGTGAACTTTGGACCAAAAAGGAAAGCAAAAGGATCTCAAATGTCAATGCTGTTTTAGTTTTTGTTTCGCTTCTTATTGTCCCCCAGCTGTTTGGATACGGTCAACCAATTTGCTACAACCCCTTTTATGGGCTCAATTACTAGAGGGAGCCTGTTGTTTGATTTCATCAATTTCTACAGCATCCATACATCACAGTGCCATTACCCTCTTTCCAAAAGGCTAACCATTATGGTGTGGAGCCCCCTGGTATATATGGCCTAAGATCATCCTACATCTATCAGATGCGGGACTGTCAGACTCTCGTCCACCAAATCTGGCAACACTTTTGTTTCCGATTGGGGTCCCTTTCCCAGTCCCACTTAAAGTGCTTTGCGAGATATTGGAATCAGATCAGGCTGGCTCTGATATTTACTCTGTTTCCCAAAAGATTAAAAGGGTGTGCATATCTTGCTACATATGGCCCCAAGATCATCCCCCACCTATCTGTTATGATATAATCACATATAGTGCAAGGAGAGTTAGGTTCTGCCTGTCTTTCTTTCTTTCTTTTTTTCATTCACTGCTAAAAAATTTGAAAATGAAAATTCTTGCCTTACTCTTTGAGCATATTTGGTAGAATGAAATAAAACACAATGGAGGTTTGGCATATTTTTTTCTGGTTTCTGAGTGCTTTAAAAATTGAGTTTACTTTCACATTTTTGAATTCTACTGCTGTCCAGAGATTATAGTTGACTTTGTCAGTTTATTTCAGCATAGCTAGATTTTCAATATTAACAGACTTCCTTGATGAATCGGGTTTCTAGATCTGATTCTTTTGATGTTTGAAGTCCCTAATTATCCAAACCTCTGAACATATTTCATACAATAACTTGCAAATTGCTAAGCCAATAGTATGCATCTAGTTGTTAAACAATTGATGTTGCCTCATCGTTTGATTATAATATCTCCATTTCGGTTTGTTCCATACCCACAGGCAGTTGAAGCTACTAAGAACGTTGAGCTTGGTAACAAAGAGTTGTCTCAAGCTATACAGCGAAATAGCAGTAGCAGGACCTTTCTCTTGCTTTTTTTGTTTGTACTTACCTTCTCAGTCCTATTTCTTGATTGGTATAGTTAGATGGGTCCTATCATTCTCATTTGATGCACACTTGTGGGAGTACTATCCGCCTTGTGACTTCAATACATTACAGGAGAAATGAAAAAGCTGGACCTCTGCCGGGAAATTGTCTTTTCTTTCTAGAGAGCAGCTGAATCCTACGAACCACCTTCTATATAGCCGTTTATATTTTACTCCCCGCAACAGTTAATGTGGTTTGTAGTGTATTGGCTCTTGCCAGGGATGATACCTACATCAAGATTGTAATGTGTGGGCGCGGGCATATTTAGAGAATTTGATCATTTCTTCTCACAGGGCAAGCGATGTGATATCTTTGAAAGCATCAAAGATTGATATTCACATTATTTCTATTTCTTTGCTTTTTTTTTTTTTTTTTTTTGATCAATTTCTTCTCACAGGGCAAGCGATTGTGATATCTTTGAAAGCATCAAAGATTTGATATTCACAGATTCTATTTCTTTTGCTTTTTTTTTTTTTTTTTTTTTTTTTCTTTTTATATAGAACCTGGATATTGGTTTCCATTGTATCAGCGACAAGTGCAGGATAGCAACAAGTGAGTGGTATTTATCCTCTATTTCCTGGATGGAGGTTGTAGATGAATATATATATATTTTTTTTTTCTTCTGTCAGCAAATGATTTACAGAATCAATTTCTTGTTGAAATTTGTCATTAATTCATGAAAGAGCTGCAAAAAGATTTTTTTGCTGCCATACATTTTTTCTTATGTTCCGATTGGCAATGAATTGATATGCCACAACTCAATGTTAAGGTGATATAAGAGACTGATGGTGGTTGGTGGCTAATTTCTCGAACCATATCTTTATAATTTATCAAAATGATTTACAAATTGTGAAAAAAAAAAAAAAATCAAAACATCATTGCCCTAATTTAAAAAAATTTGATTCAAGAACGTACACAAATAGGGTATATAAGTTTTAGGTCTATCTGAGCCTTCAATACTTTCAATCATGTTGATAATTGATATACAAATTGGGTAGAGAACAGTGATTTATTATGCTTCATCATCAAATTCCTAGTCACATATGCTCTACCAAGTATACAGAAAAGTTTCTGTCCCTCTGATAAAACAAAAACAAAAACAAGAACAAAAAAAAAAAAAAAAAAAAAAAAAAAAAAAAAAAAAAAAAAAAAAAAAAAAAAATCCCTCCGAGAATGGATAAGAACAATTTAGAAGTGATAACACATGAAATAGACATGTGAAATGTCAAGTTAGACAAGAAAAACAATAAATATGAAATAGACATTTCAAGCTAGACAAGAAAGAAATCAATAATTTGGAGGAGATCCACAGTATTGGTCTCTCATATAAAGCAACACCAATTATTTGATTACTTTTGCTGTTAATTGCTATTAAAATGTCTTTATTGCCCCTAATGAATACAATATACTGGTTCTCGTGGATTACCATTTAGTCCCTGGCGTACTTAAATACAATTGGAAGATGAATTTGGAGGGGAAAAAAAAAAAAAACTAACAGAAGGATTAAATAGTGTAACAGAGACAAAACCGAGAGATTATATATTTAAATTGTGAAAGTAGTAATTCATTTTTATTTTATAATTGGTTAAACAGCTTTTAATCAATTCAATTAGTAGGTGCTTTGGATAAGTGGATATCCCTAGTATTATAAATGGTTGAGAGACCCATTAGGTTGATCAGAAGCTTATCCTTTATACACACTTATTAATGCACATGGGTTCTCAATAAAAAGATTACCTGTAATGAAATTTTTTTTTTTTCCAATTTCATAAACATGTTTATATTATAAACTTTAATATTAGGTAAAGCTGTTGAGAAGTTCTAATCAGAATTTATTGGATTTCAAGTTTAAAAAGGTATGATCCCAAAAATTTGTATCCTTCGTTAAGCATTTAATTTAAATTTACCAATTAAACTAAGAAGTATGCAAGGCAACTTCTATAATCTATGAAGAAGAGCCAAGTAAATTGTTTACCTAAAATTTGAGAAGCAATGGGGAACAGTACTTGGGAAGTAATAAGCAATTTTAGCCTCTGAAAATGCATGAAATTTCCGAGAAGGAAAAAGAAAAATAAATAAATGAAATAGCAAATGCAGCTTCAAATAATAACCAAAAAGTCCTCAACATCCTCTGGTAAGTAGATTATATATAATATATATATAATATTATATATATATATATTATAAATATAATAACCTAATAAATATAATACCTATAAAAAAATATATGGTATTATTCCCAAACAACAAATTTTCATTCCTGAATTTTGGAAGTCAAATACAAAAGCACTGCATATACCCCCCTTTTTTCCTCTTTAGCAAATAAGTAGAAACAAAAAAAAGTAGAAAATAGTCTCAAATAAATCACAAGTGATTCAATACTGACCAAATGAAAGAATTTGACCTGCCTACTGCCTATGAAGACTACAATCTGGTATCATTACAGAGAGGCAGCAGGAGTTTTTAAAGAAGAAATAATAAAAAAACAAAACAAAAAAAAGATGATCAAAACTCACTCTTCAGGGCATATTCATAATGGATATGGATGCTAATCACAGCTAGATGCATGAAGAAAAAAGAAAAAAAAAAAAAAATACTGTAAAAAAAAAAAAAAATACTGTAATCTAGACAAACAACCAGGGCAAGGAGTTTAGAAACCACCAAATTTCCGACAGAGCAGTGAAGATTCACCATAAAGAATGAGGCAGTGTAAGTCAGAGGGAAAACCATTCCTTCTGGTGGGAGATGTGATAAGCTAAAATAAATCAACTTTTCTTCTTCTGAATATCTGCATTCCATTTTGGCAATTATAGAATTCTGCTTTCGGCATTCTGCATGAAGAAAAAAAAAAAAAAAAAAAAAATACTGTAATGCTAGACAAAGCAAGCCAGGCAAGGAGTAGAAACCACAAATTTCCGACAGAGCAGTGAAGATCACCATAAAGAATGAGGCAGTGTAAGTCAGAGAAACCATTCCTTCTGGTGGATGTGATAAGCTAAAATAAATCAACTTTCTTCTTCTGAATATCCTGCTTCCATTTTGGCAATTTATAGAATTCTGCTTTCGGCATTCCAAATATATTCTCAAAATCCTCTGCTGACAGGTAGGCCTGAAAATTAGAAGGGAGAAAAACTTGAATATCCATGCAAAGGAACAAATTCAGGCGAAGTAATAACATTCAAAAGAATTACACACCTCTCTCCGCTTAAAATCAATCCCAGTTACAGGATTTTCAGAATGAGCCTTCAGTTGATCGTAACTGAATGTATTATCAGCATCAGTGCCTCCATAAGTAGTTTCATCCTGCTCAGTGTCTTGTTTTGACTCTGAATCTTCCCCAACACTTTCAGACACAGAAGCAACTTCCTCTGTTTCCTTACCTTCTGCAGCTTCTTCAGAACCCTCCACTTCAGAAAGTGAATTTTCACTCTTTCCTTCAGCTGCAAATCGCTTAAACACATTAGGTATTTAAATTGCAGACTCGGTCACAAACACGTAGCAAATTTAGTTCAGAAACACCAAATGAGAAAAAGAAGAATAAAGACTCTTTTAGAATTAGATCATAAGAACAGATTCTAAAGTAACCATGCTCTGCAAGTATATGCAATATTATCTAAAATAAATTTTACTTTCTTACTAGATTCAGGAGGAGGACTGCGTGATGGAGAGGTTTCAGGTGTTTTCTTCTTTTCAGCAGTAAGAACTTGCGATAGAGCAGCTACAGCTGCAGCTCTTTGTGATCCCTGACTAGGTCCACTTGGCCTCGAAGCAGTAGTTTTGCTTCCAGAGGATGAACTAAATGCAGAATTCAAGGCAGCTAAAGCTGAAGCTCTCTGTGTTGGTCCTCCTGACCCATTGGACCTATCCTGAGCCTGTAGCACAGAACATTGTACAAACAGTTCATTAGCTAAAAAGCTGAACTGGTGAATGAAAGAAGTACCACCCACGTACACATTGTCATCAAGTATAAACTCTTGATAACATAAGCATGCAATGGATGAAAATAAAGATGTAAATAAGGACGACGGTATGGAAAGAAATTGTACTAAATAAAGTAAATGCAAATGAGAAAAAGTTCAAACTTAGAATTGCAATGTATGACAAGTCATAACCATAAACAATTAAGTAACATATGCATGTGTGTGTGACCACAAGAAAAGCTCTGACTTAGACAAAAGGAAAAAAAATAAATAAGTAAAACAAGAAATTATGTGAACTTCCAAGTCAATTCTAAAAACAACTCAATTAGACCATACAACTCTATAATGAAGTCCATACTAGGGACCTATTAATATACTAGATTATGAATAAAATGAATGGCAAATTTTATTTTTAAAAAATAAAACTATACTCCAAATTTTTTATTGTAAGAATCTCACCAATAACATTTTTTGGAAAAACATATTACTACAGATAAGAGAGGAGGAGAAGAAAACTAACCAAATTCAGTACAGAAACCAGAAAAAAAAAAAGGAAAAAAAAAAAAGAAAAAGAAAAAGAAAAAGAAAGCCCTGTAGAGAGGAGAAAAAGGAGGAAGAAGAATAAGAGAAGGAAATCAATGAAGGAAGGCGACTAAAACGATGATATGTATCATAAAGATATGCGAGCCTGAGTCTCTCTGACCCAGTCGCCCACCCAAACAAATTTACTTACTGAAGGGGATGACTTTCCAGAAGATGGTTTAAATGCAGAAGATAATGCAGCTAAAGCAGAAGCTCTTTGTGTTGGTCCCCCTTGATTTCCATTAGACTTTTCCTGTCACAGCAATGTCACAGATATCATAGAACTAAGCGGGCACATTTATGCTATCTTCATCATCCTCATCATCCAACGTGAGATATAAGACTCAATACAACTACATTAGCATATAGAAGGAATAAAAGGAAGGTCTGATTAACTTGAATGGCCAATCTTGTGTTAACTTATATCAAACATCATCAGATAATGATCCTTTTCAATGAAGTTGCATCCCTATCTGCAGGAGCTGCTCGTGAAAAGTAATTCTTGCTGAACAATCCATGGAAAGAAGAGGAGAGGAACAAAAGAATAGTGGACGCAAAGGAAAGAAGATGATATTTTCTACATTCTATATATAGGCATCTTAAATCAGAGAGAGCAAAAACTCTATTATTGTCCGAGTCACATAGGCGCCACTCTACACCAAAAGAAAGGAAATAGGAGGGAAGGAGCTGCCAAAGTAATTTGTATGATATTGTCTTGGCCCAAAGCTATTTCAGAAGACAATTGGCTTAATTGATGCTAACCACTTCATAAAAGAGAAAAAATAAGCTAGTCTACTCAATGGAATATGAAAGCAGCATCAAAATAAAAAATAGTGTAGTCACAAACTTACATTTTGAAAGACAAACTTATTTTGTTATGACAGATTCATTGAAACAATATATAAAAACAAATAGAGTACAGAAATGAATATAGATAATATAAAACACAAGGTTATGGAGCAATTATCTGTTCAATATAATAAATTAACCATTTACCTCTGCAGCATGATGTCCTACACCAAAGAGTAATGCTACCTTCTTTTGGAATGAGTTCCCTGCAGCCTGCAATCAATGGAAGAAATTTCTAAAAATGGAAGCTAAGCATAATTAGTAAAGAGACAGATATGGATAGAGTGCAACTTACAAATAACAGAATGTAAGATCTCTTGAGGTATAGCTAAGGTTCACAGAATATATAGCCTTATCATCCTGAATTTAGGCTTCTGAGACACATTTTTGCTATTTTATGACCTAAATCAGAAATTTTCCATTTTTTTCTTAATCTTTGAAGTGATGTGTTGTCCAGATTAATTGCCATTCCATTGCGAATGATAATCACTATTCACTTCATAAATCAAATATTAGATTATAACAGGTGACTTCAGGTGAGTATCTAGGTTGGACTTTGTATTATGCTCTCAATTTTATCCGTAAATTTATGTTACATGACATTCTAGATTCTAAATGCTTCAAAGTTTTTATTCCCATAAGCAGCTAATTAATGTCTCTTATGCACTCCACCTTGCATGGTCATTGATACTTGTGCTATTATCATTATTTGGAATCTCACTTTGCCTTATTTTGAAGGCTTTTTTCATTTTATACCATGATAGCTCACTTCTTGCATCTACACTCATTTAGTCTACAATTTGCTTGTTTTCTTAAGAGGCTCATCAAACTTAGAAAATAAATGAACAGGGAAGTTAAAAGCTTCAATATCTTTACACTGTCTAAGTGCAATATCAACATTGATATTCAAAAAAAAAAATTTCAAATATTTCCCACACAATCATGGAATTTCGGTTTCTTCATGCATATTTGCATCCATCTCAAATCATTATAAACATGCAAAAAGATGTATCCCGTGAATCAATATTTTACCGTGAAAATAGAGATATTGAAATATATACAAAAACTTCAGAAAAGAGAAACAATGCTGCTGCAGAACTTACCATGGCTTTTGAGGTATCCCACGAAAAGTATGTAGTGAAGAATGATGGTTCATTTCCTTCAGTAACTTTGTACAGTGGCACATTTGGAGACAAACCGTCAAGAGATGCAGCCATTTCTATGTATTTCTGTAAAGATAAAAGCAACGAATTAAAAGAACATTACAAAAAAAATTGCTCACCTCAACTGAACCTGGATCCCAATATATGGATCCTTCCCCTCATTCAGCTCAGTTTTGGTCTTCAGTTTTACCAATGTACAAAGGAAATATGAAAAAATCACAAATTGTTTAAGCAGTACCTGGCCAATATCAAAGGCATTTTGCTTTTCTTTCGGATCAACAGATTGACCGATCCAAACAAATACTTCAGCATGTGTATCAAGAATCAAAATGTCCTCAGTCAACAAATCATCTTGAGAAAAGTTGTAAACTTCCTCAACCTGCAAAATAGAACATTAAAAGCTGCTAAGTAATTGCTCAGAAACAATTTTCAATTACATTTAAAAGTCTAGAACTCACCTGAAATTTTCCTGAGAGATCCACATAGCAGCAAAATGATAATAAAAAAGTCAGTTAGAATGATAATATTTCAACTTAGAAATCTTTCTAACAAGTTATTTCAAGTGAAGACAAAATTAAATCGGCCAACTAAAAAATGAAAGTCACCTTTATTGAAAGAGAAGGTGAACAAGTGGGGATCTCTTGCAATTTCTGCAGAAGCTTTTTTGCTGGTGTAACTTTGTTTGCCTCCAAGTGGAAACCAGAATGCGGAGCTTTCAGTTCCTTCTTTGGCATGTTTTAAAGTAACTCCAGGCTGAATTTGTAAGGTAAATGAAACTTAGATAAAATTAAACAGGAGAAACTTCCAGTTCTGTTCCAAGATCCAGTTTAAGATATAAATAAGACGCTAAGCAAGAAATTCCCAGTGGCCAGTCAAAATTGATTTTTACATGAAGCTGATATTTATTTTATACATGTTTCTAATAAATACTGAATGATGGTTGTTGGCAAAGTGCAAAGATCAACAAAATGCTTCAAAGACTGGACATCATGGATTGATTTGAAAAAAAAAATTCCAATCGTAGCTTACCAGTACCCCTGCCTACTTGAAGCAAGTTGCAATGATGTGTCATATAAAATGAAAAAAGAATACATATTTAAGTTTTTTACAAGATTTACATTACCTGTAACATTATATTCTCATTTCCTGTTAGAGTTAACTAAATTAGTGAAAGTAAGCAGTTGATTCTGCTTACTAGTTGACAAAAGGAATCAATTTAAATCATAATCAAAGTAAGCGGTTGATTCTGCTTGCTAGTTGACAAGGCACTTGTAGTATTTCCAACCAAACATGTTCCAAAAAGAAGCACAAACAACAGAATTCTAATAAAAGAAAAACCTTCAAAAATTCAGCAACTTTAGTGGCTAATTGCTGCTGCTCAAAAGTACTTTGATTCCCATTCCACAAGAAAATTGAAGAGCCAGATTGTAGAAGGAAACACTGTGTAGAATTCAATGATGTTGCCACCTACAAAGAATAGATGTAAGTTCATATTAGCAACAATTTATCAAATATGTACCTAAACAATTCATTTAATCAGTGGAATAGGAACCAGGTACACATCTGACCAACCAAACGGAATTCACAAAGGAAAGAAGTATCGTCAGAGGATATTTTAAGTAAAATGCATTTGCAGAAAAGAAGAAACTCAATGATTTATACCGCATCAACTTGTTCTATCTTATTTTTATGAGGGGAAGTCCCTGATATCCGAAAGAGTGCGACACAATCTGTTGTATAAGTTCCATCCGTCAATCCTTTATCTTCTATATGTTTCTTGTATCCAGAACTCAAACCACCCTGAGGACATAAACAAACAAATGGAACAGTAAGGTATAACCCCCAACATCATACAAAACATTTCATCGTAGTTCTTGTGATTGAGTAACCTACAGCATTATATTCAAGAATTTCATGGTTTACCTTGAGGAGTACCATTGGCTGGAAAAGTGCAATAAACTGTGGTGGCTCCTTACCTTGAAAAATGCGACCCTGCAAGAACGAAGCACATATTAATGCAAGTAATATAAATAAGATTCTAAAATTTGACAGCATATTAATATCATACCTGAACAGGTCTGCCCTTTAGTGAGTTTGACATTGTACTGGCCAACCGAACAGCCATTTTTTGGTCCTCCTAAATTGATGATTATGAGATCAAAAATTAATCCAACAAAAACAGACCATCAATATAAGATATTAAAATTAAAACAAATAATGACAGAAGGACAGCATCAGCTAGAAACAAAAGATCAAATGTATAAAAATTCATTTGTAGAAACGAGCATAAGCATATATTGCTATAGCACCATGATTCAAAAACTCATTAATTATTTCATGGTGAAAAGTTATGCAAATAAAAGTGTTCTCTAACCCCCAATAAGTGTAGGATATATCAGACAGAAATTTCACAGGACGAAGCTGCAGAAAAAAGATATTACATTCCATAAGCATTAATTGTAAAGAAAAAAAGAACGACAAAAAATCATTGAATGTAACCATCTCAAATATCAAATACACCATATAAAAAATGAGCTAACTAAAGAAATGACACAAATTACTTGATCCATGAAGTCTAAGGTGTAAGAAATAAATGAAGCACAGATGCTTGATCAAATTTAAGAGAAGACAAAATCTCTGGTCCACTGTCCAGCATGAGGGAAGACAAAATCCATGTCCTTCCAGGTATTAAGGGAAGAAAGCAGATCATCAAACCACAGATTTCAACCATTCTAACTAGATTAGAAAAGATTGAAGCAAGCAATGAAAACTAAGAAATCTAACACATTTCCCGACAATATGATGGTGTTATAGCATATCCCGAAAAAATGAAATAGTACTCAAACTTTGACCACAAAATTGTTGAATATATATGCCCATTTTTAAATATACAACTATATGCCCATTACATAATAATAATCATTCCTACTATAAAAATACTGGAATGCTGCTGACCACAAAAGATGTTGAACATACACACCCATTTTCAAATACACAAGCATGCTCAGTAACAATAGTGGAAGCAATTTAATATATTGGATGTACATGTGACGTTCATCATCTGTCCCTATTGCCAACATATATGCTTCAATGATTATAAATCCAAATATCAACAATAAAAATTACCTCTATGCTATCCTTTCCAAACCAACAGCACAAAAGGTAATCTTCTTTCCTATCACCTGAGTGGTAGGTATAAAGTATGATATAGCAATCCCCACTATAAAATTTACCAATATCCTCCTTGGGCAATGGAGTCTTAGCACTACCATTGATGCACCACACCTAGAAAATAATCAATATTCAGTATCAACAAAGACATGAGTAAAGAGCCTTAACACATCAAGGAGTTTCCAAAAGCGACCAAGAGAATGAAATGTCAAACCTCCATCTTTCCACCTCCTTCAAGCAAAGGTGGTACTTCCTCATTAACAGGAGTACTTTTGCTGGCACCCTTGACACCAACACCTTGTTGCTTCAGCAAAGCTACCATTATGCAAAATACCAAATTAAATAATCTTAAGCATAAATATCTTTCACTAATTCAACACTAAGGAAGTGATCATTACCTGCTACTTTTCCTCTACCCTCTTCAGCGCCAGGAGCTGCTGATCCAGCCGGCCAGGAACCAAAGTTTGATTTGAAAGAATGTGTCTCATAACCTTGAATAACTCGAGTTATACGAGTAGCTTTTGGCCTGCCTTGACTTTTAACAAATTCCTGCAAACATTTTTTGGAGATGACAACCCATGTGTCTGTTGAGACAAAGGAAAAAGAATAAATTCTAGACCCTTACCTCAGCGGCCTGGCTGGCAGCTTTTCTCTCATCCACTTGTGTTACACGACCAACCCAAACAAATATTTCAGCGCCACAATCCAGTAGATAGCATTTGTTATTTTCTAACATGCCTTTGGACAATTCACCTTCTACGGCCTTTATCTCACCGTTGGTGATACTACAGGAAGTTGTAAACAGTAGTGGGAAAATTAGCAACTACTCTAAGCTTATTGACATACTCATGCTCTTTGAGAACAACAAAATTTAATTCTTTGAATACAACAACAAAGGAATCAGAATGTTAGTGTAGTGCCGATATTGCATCTTTCTGAAAGTTAATAGGAAGCAGATGATTTAAATCATACAACAGAATTCCCACCAGAAGTAGAGTTGTTTTTCTTGCTATTCCATAAATTTTTCTTAACCCAAAAAAGCAATTCCATGCAGAATAAGACATTTAAAAACCATCCAAGAAGCCTTAAACAAGCCAGGGCATAATGTTGAAAAATTCAGTGGATCGAACTTTTAATACTAAGTTAAGACAGCCGACAACATCTTAATTGTACAAAGAAAACTAAGATTATATGCAAATAATAGATCAAAGGTTTCATGAACTATAGAAAATACATTGCAGAGCAAATTGACTGAATGCCAAACAAGAATTTATCAATGATGGATCAAGTAGAGTACAAGTATCAGTATCAAGGACTTGAGATGGTGATACCCATCTAGTACACTTATCTCTAGAGCTAATACACTGACAACTGCTTATTGGCATAATAAAATGTGTAAAGATCAAAGGATGCAACATATAAAGAATTAGGCAATAAACCTTAAAATAAAATTTATGTTACCTTTCAACAAAAAGAAAGTGCAAACAGAATTATGGAAAATATAAAACGAACCTATATAGTTTAGCAGGGGTGGCCTCTGGGACAATATCATCGTCACTGAGAACTTTTTTGCCAATTGGAGCAAAACCACCAAAAAGAACCCAGAATTCACCTGAGTCTGACTCAGTATCTAACTTCCCATCATCTGTCACAGCGAAAACCAATATGCAGAAATAAGCAATGGAAGAAAGAATTATCAAATAGAGGAAAAACCAACAAAAGAAGGTCCAATAAAGCATTTCTGCAGAGAAATTCCCAAGAAGGGAGAAAAGGCATCATGAAATTGCAACTAATGTGCTCTTACCAACAATTGCAACATCACACACCCCATCATGATACTTTTCCTTCAAAAATTGAATTACTTCCAAAGCCTTGGCTCTTTCCTGGATATTAGAATTTGCACCATTGAATTGATAGATCTTCTTCTCAGTGTCCAAGATAAACACATCATCATGATTCAGTGAAGACCGGGCAAAGGGAACCTGCACAAACCAGATGCAACTCACATTTAATTGATCCACTCAAGAAGCGGATTTGCATCCAAGAAAACTCCATTTTGACAATTAAGTCCTTGTTAACAATTTGATTACCTGCTTCATTCTCACAACACGTTTTCCCTTACACACATATAACCGTGTTTCAAATACTTCTTCCTCAGGTGTTCTGAAACCAGATGCAACACCACCCTCTAATGGTATGATACATGGTTTGAAATAAGACAAAAATTTGTCAGACTCATGGCCTTGTAGTTCTCTGTGCTGAACAGCGCGCCCTCCAAGAGCAGCATCAAGTTCGACAGTTTTGATAGCTGCTGTTCCAGCTTCATCCTAGAATAAGTTATCACATTAAGTGAGATCATATATCATCCAGTTTTTCAGTCTACTGTAAAGATAACAATATAGAATAAATCCATGCACAAAAAGAACTATGAGAACAATGCAGTAAAAGCACACCTGACTCGTATCTTTTCCAATCCAGAAGTGTATGTCAAACAGATAAGCGCCCCCCTTGCCAGGCGATGTCTACAAAGAAAAAAGCAAGATGAGGAAAAATAAAAATCAAGTAGCAAATGATTACGGAGCATATGTACAATATTTTAAATCTTCACTTGTCCAGTTCCTGACCCACCACAGCAATAGTATATAATGTGCATGACATTAAATTACAACACAAAATAATGCATGAAGAAATCAATGAATCATATAAAATAAAACAATATAATAAGTCTAGAATTGTTACCTTTGTGATATGGTTTTGTACTTTGAACTTCAAAATACCAAATAATCGGCCACTAGGCTAGTGACTTAGTAATCACTCCAAGTAATTTGGGAGTTGCCAAAACAAAACTAAGTAATTCGTAAGCTACCAAAACAAAACTAAGGCCGATATTTAAGAATCACTCCTTACAAGAGAAACTATAAACCATATGAAAAAGTTATATCCTGGGTCTCACCATTCATGTGATGATTAGTTTATAGAGATATCAATACCTGACGAGAGAGAGAGAGAGAGAGAGAGAGAGAGAGAGAGAGAGAGAGAGAGAGAGAGAGATGAGAGAGAGAGAGAGGAGAGAGGAGAGGGAGATGTACCTGTAAAGACAAATGTAAGAATCTCCCATGTAGAATTTTTCCATAAATCAGTTTTCGGTAGTAGAGAGAGAGAGAGAGAGAGAGAGAGAGAGAGAGAGAGAGAGAGGGAGAGGGAGATGTACCTGTAAGACAATGTAAGAATCTCCCATGTAGAATTTTCCATAATCAGATTTCGGTAGTGGAACTGGCTGAAAATTCTCAATTCGCCAAATTTCAGTCCCTCTACAAAAATGTTAAGTTTAACAGCCGCACAGGGAAAAGTGGAAGCATGATCAACATTTAACAAATTTCAAAAGCAAATATTAGCTATTCCCGTATTTGATTAATTGAATACAAAAAGGAAAGGCACAACACACAAAGTTTACAACATAAAAGATTCATAAAGAAGGTCTTCCTTCTGTAAAGGATACGGTCTCTGGCCAACTCCCTGAAATGCAGGATCCAAAGCTTTTGTAGAGCTAGACATTGTATGAAATACTCCTTAAAACTGATTCTACTGAAAAGTCAAAGTAATGTTTAAAAACTCCAGCTATCTGCTTTCTGCTATCTGGAAAGTACAAGAGCCTGCTGCAAAAGCAAAAATTAATAGTCTGCAATCTTTCAAGTCTCAACCAAGCATATAAACACAGAGAAAAATTTCACAATGCTCAAAAATAAAAAAGAAAGAAGAAAGCCAAAAATGGGAGATTAGTTTTCAAACCGCAAACTGCCCAAACAAATAAAAAATTTTCAATTAGTCATATTTGTACAAAAATGAGCAGCTCATTCCATAGAATCATAAGATTCTTATATCCCATGTCATTTTGATTTTTTTTTTTTTTTCCCCTTTTAGAGATGGGGAACTTGTTGCACGACTATGGTGATTTCCCCGTCTTATGGGGGAGGCTTAATTGATTTGTCACTTTCAGGTCAGATAATGAACCTTTAATCTGTTTTTTTAAATCCAAAAACAGTTCCGCGCGCTATTATGCAATGATAAAATAACATGATATATGAAACGCACTGCAATGGGGAAGGCATACAATATGGAAAGCCTGGAACTACCCTTGCAATCTGTTCTATTTCAACAGGAAACATAAACAGTGAGAGGATTCATTTCTTCATTGATGATTTGAGCATTATACATTCCAACCATCATTAGATATTGGTTCATAATGCATCTTTTCAATAGATACAGATCCTAGCAAATGAATCTATAAGGTGATTGTTATGAAGCACAAATAAAATATCAAATGCACCCTGATAAAACAGTTAAAAAAAAATGATTCTTGAGGAAATACAATTCAATATGGCAAAATACTTCCTCAAAATAAATCATATAGGCACACAGGTACATAGATGCATATAATGATATATGTTTGTGTGTATCACTTTTCTTTCATGTACTAAACACCATCTGTTAATTAATTGAAGATGCAACTATTGTTTGTAAAACAGACAACATACAATTTTAAGGCATTCTATAGTTCTAGTTTCCAGCGTTCTTTTATATCAATAGAAAAAAGTTGCACAAGAATGGCTAAGGTATATCCTAATTTTTATTGTGGGATGGGAAGTGTACTGCAAGTGCTGAAGACATTTCAAAGGCTAAAACTCTCTCTTAAAAGTTGAGAAGTATCAGAAACATATCTTTGACTATCGAAGGAAAACTGCTATCCGAGGAATGATACATACAACACCCAATAAGAGCATCCATTCTAGAAAGGTAGAACAAAAGTATAGTATGGAGCTAGAAATATATATATATATATACATACTACCTGGTTCTCAAGAATGTATTAATTATGAGTTATCATTTCCTAGTATTAATTCTATTATGATTGATCATGTTTATCCATTCATATTGAAATGACAAACTATGTTTCAAAATACTTGAGCAGCTGCACGTGGCTTTACGTTCTAAATAACCAAGATATCAGCAAGCACTTTCATATGTTACAATGATCCAGAAGATGGAAGAGTCCCGTATGTCTTAATCCATCCCACTTGTAGCATGCAAACGTTTGCATGTGGATTTAACTAAATTATACCCCTAAAATAATCCTTCAATATTCCATAGAGACATTGACCAGTAGCATTCACATGCAAATTGCATTGCCTCTCTGATAGACTCCATGAAATAATAAGAAAAAACCAATTCATTGTTGTCTCCACATCTTGTGTTCTTGACTAAGGTCTGTTACTGTAATGATGCCTATGCTAATTGTGTATACTTCTGGCCCTCACCTACTGAGATATGCAACACACAACCGATGCACTGGTCCACAATCAACAGCATAAAACCTGACGTTTGGCCTTCAGATGTCAGTAGAAATATAACCACCATAGAAGAAAGTAACACCTTGTCCACAAGAACCATATGTTCTGACTTGATTTTTCAGTTTCATGGGTGAATGTTTTGTTCCTATACTATTAAAATAAGAACTTAATAAGGCATCATAATGGAACCAGCACAAGTAGTGAACGATTTCAATCAGCATTCCTGTGGTAAAAGCTATAGGTTTCTCTTGCATGCTTCTTTCAAACCTCAGATAATTCTGCTGCAGATAGATTCTCTTAGCTAGAGATCCAGGTTTTCCACATTATCTATGCTGAACACATAATGTAGTAAAGTACCTAGATTTTAGAGGTTAAAGCATGCCTTGTTCCAAACTCAATAAATGTTCATGTGCATTAGCTGCAAATGCTTGAATGAAGACCATGAATTGAGAGCTTGCTCCAAAACTAGATATCTCCAAAACAAACTTACAAGAAAATCATTCAAGTTTTTAACAGCTTCCCACTACACAACCAGTAAGCAATGATCCAAACGTGCAATCTGAAACCTCCTTTGAAGCACTAGCCTCATCGATCAATGATCTATTTATTGGTATTGATCACAAGCAATCATCATATGCTCCAAAACCCACAAATTTTAGTTTCCATAAAACTCTTAATAATACATTGCAAGCACATCCGATTTTGTTTAAGAATTAGCTCAATATTAAGACGATCATCAGGATTGTCAGCCATCATGTTTATTGCAAATAAAATTCTTCCAGCAGAGACTAATTGAAGACATTAAATCAAACAGAAAAAACATTTAGAGATCAACCAGAGGTAAACAACAACAATCAATTTAAAAAAAAAAAAAAAATTAACGTTAACGACCCACTAAAAAGAAAAGAAAGAAAATAGACTAGGTAATAATTAGATCAAAGCATAGATCACAAAAAGAAAGAAAACCAACCAATGTCAAACAAAGATCATGAATACCCAGATCATAAAAATGCGAAATTCAAAGAGATCTAACAGAATTACAAAAAAAAAAAAAAAATCAAACATTAAACTTTTGAAAAAACAACATACCCGGAAATCTATCTCTCTGTATGTCTGTGTGCGTGTCAACGTGTTTATGGTGATGATGATACGGTTTATGTGGGGAGAAGAGAGAGAGCAATGAGAAAGGACGAGGTAGCAGAGCTGGCGATAAAGAGTGAAGGAGATGATAAAAAAATAAAAAGAAAAGTGAATTATTGATTGCTGTATGTGGGTTTCTCTCTCATATAACTTTATAGAGAAGGTGGAATTTCTTTATGAGATTTGAAATATTACAGAGACAGAGAAAAGCTGTGGCTATGCGTTATGATGTATGGTATGGTTTTGTTGGGAGAGAGAGAGAGAGAGAGAGAGAGATAGCGATGAATTATGGGATGATGTACAGAGATAGAAATAGAAATGAGAAAAAGAAGAGCGAATAGGCTTGCAGTGGACAAAGTCGTTATTTAAGGCTAAAAAGATCCGGTGACGATGGCACCGGCCATGTTGGCCTTGCCTTTTGCTTATATGGATTTTTATTTTTTCTTTTTACTATATTTTGTTTTTACTTTTCTTTTTTGTATTTTTCCTTAAAAAAAAAAACTTTTTTCTATATTTTTCTGACATCCTAAAAAAGCTTTTGTTTTTTTTTTTTTAAACTCAACAAATCAAAATACCTTTTTTAAGTATAACTAATTTTATTTCGGGTCTTGGACTAGTATTCTTTTTCTTTTTCAAAAATATAATTCATGAAATTGCACAGGTTATTCTTTGTTATTACCTGTATATTATAACACTTAAAAACTTCTTATTAAAACCTTATTTTTTCATATATTATAAAATTTAATATATATATATATACATAATTTGTATATTTTACAAGTAATATTTTTATTGGATTTTTTATTTTCGCATTATAGAGACAAATTCAATTTCATAAATATTTTTAAAAATTGAGTCTTATGAAGGTATCCAAGTTGGGATGCTAAATAATAAAAATAAAAATAGAATATAAAACTAAAAATAATGTATGTTAGTAATTTCATTACTACTTTACTTCCGTTCCATAAAAGTAATTTTCTACATTACGTAAATATTATATTAAGAAATTTTCATAAGACAAATAAAAATGATAGGTACTATTTTTAAAATTTTAGTAATAAATTTAATAATAAAAAAATGATGTTCATTCTCGTATGTTGGAGTAACTTCGCAGTCTAATCTAAAAACAGACACTTTGGTTTAATAACATGTATCAATGGATTCATAAAGACAAGTGAACAATATATATTATAATCAAAGATAATAACCCTTTAGTTTTCTTATACATAAGAAGAAATAAAATATATATTTTTTAAGAAAATGACGAAAAGAAAATCATTATTTGTAAAATTCAAATACTATACCTTTTATAATAGTAGAAATAAGAATTATTTTTTCATATTACAATTTTCCAATGTGATAAGTAAAAGAAAAAAAAAATTATAATACTTCATACGCAGCAGCTAGTCTAGATTCTATTTATCAGCCTTAAGAATAATTTCATTACTTCATAAAATATTAAAACAATTTAAATTAAAATAACGAATTTTATAAATTTGGTATATTTTTTCAATTAATCCCAATGAATTGTTCTCTTATATAATTTACAATTTGATAAAAGAAAATAAGGAAATTTTAAAAAAAAAGGAAAAATAGTAGCAATAATTAAGCACCAAATCTTATGAATGTAAAGCTGGTCCATGCCAGGCTGAACCTCTGCAAATATTTTTCCTCTTAGCTCATTTTGTGGGTTTAAGGGGTCCAATGTGGTTTGTACTTAAAGTGTTAAACTAACTGGCAGGTGTACCTATTTCAATAACTTCTTTTTTCTTTTTCTTTTTTTTTTTTTCCCTTCCAATTCTCTCACATATATATATAATTTATTAAAAAAATGAAAAATATTTTACTATTTAAATATTTAATCTATAGGAAAAGCTATTTATAAGTTTAATTTAAAGAAATAATTGTTTTAAGGGAAAGCAGAGACAACTAATTCAATTAATAAGTGAATTTTTACATTTTATATATAGATAAAAAAATATTTTCAAGCCAAAATTCAAATAAAAACTTTTTTTTGTTGTATCTTAATTATAGTCTCGATGAATATAATTTATAAAATTATTTTAACTATCTCAAAACATAAATTTAGTGTAGCATGCAAAAAAATAGCTTATAATACCATTATTATTTAAAGAATAACAAATGTAAATTATTCCTAATTTCTTGCTATTTGGGTTAAAATACATAATTCTATATCTTAACTCCAAAAGTCATTGTCCATTATATTTTAGTCCCCAAAATTATGCTTTTTTTTTTTAATTAAAACATAGTAAATAATGTTGAAAATAATATGAATATAAATAAATCTCAAGAATTCTATTAATTTATCAAAGACAAAATACATATAATAAGGTTATATTTATTATATCCTCAAAATAGAAAATATTGGTCATATCACATCCTAAACAGCCTTGTAAGGATAATGGAGCAAGTGGGTCTATGTTGGGAAGTTGAAGTGAATTGACCCAACATTGGAAATTTTTGAATACTTAGAGGCTAAGAACCAAACAGATATGTTAATTAAGTAATCTATTTATGTGTGTTTGTTCAATTTTCTTCCTTTTCCTTTTTCTTTTTTCATTTTCAAATTTAGTGATAGCCTTGGGAATGGCAGAAAATTAGCTTTTTTTTTTTTTTTTTTTTTTTTTTTTTTCTTCTTTTTTCATTTTCAGAAATTTAGTGGATGCCTTGGGATGGCAGAAAATTAGCTTTTTTTTTCTTTTTTTTTTTTTTTTTTTTTTTTTTTTTTTTTTGACTTTGCTTCTTTTGGTTAATTTATATTCTTTTAGGGTCTAAAGTCTAAAAATTGAAACTTCTTGATCTTTAAAATAAAACTAATATGATCCGATCAAAATACAAGTTTTATCATTTTCAATTTCTCATTATGGACAATTTATTACTACCTTTGTTTAATATTACTTATCATGCATGAGAAAATAGTTTGTTGCAAAATATTTATCAATTTGTGGTTTAAGGAGTAATAAATATTTTTTTTCTATATTTATCATTTGTATATTATCAATAATTATTACTTCAATTTAATGGTTTCCTAGAAAATTAATATTAAATTAAAGATAATATAGTCAATTTACTCAATAATTTATTGTAACTTAGACAAATTTAATGATTTTTTAAGGGACGTGAAATTTCAAATTATGGAACAGAAGTTATAACTAGTAATATGTCTCCTTCATAATTGAGTTCAAATATTCCTAAACGAGTTAGAATTTTTTTTGTGTGTGTTTTACGAAATATTAGGATTTTTATTGAGCTCAAATATTAATCTTTTACTGTCATAATAATAAATTACTAAATATATTCTTTTTTTTCTCATTAAGTTAAATTTTTTTTGGTCAATGGTAATAATTTTAATTGAAAATTTTATTGTTATTATTAAGATTTCGAATTTGGTCCAAATATTCATAAACAATTTGAAATATTTCTCCTTTTCTGTTTTACAAAAATATTAATACGTGTATTCATTTTTTAATTAATATTATGAATTTTAATTGAGTTCAATTATTTCTAATTGTCCCAAAAGATACTTTATTTCTTTTTATACCAGATTCCTAATTGAGTCAAATTTACCATGGTAATAATTCCTGATGGCATTCTTATTTGAGTTTAAAATATTAGGACCCCTAATTAAATTCAAATATTTCTAATTAATAAAATTATTTCTCCATGTTCATCCAATAAAAATATTAGAATTTTTAATTGAGCTTAAATATTAGTCTTTTATTGTTAAAATAATAAATTACTAAGGATATTATTATTTTTATAGTCGAGTTAAAATATTTTTTATTTTTTAAATATAATTATTCCTAATTTATTTTTTAACTAAAATTTTCAAATTAACTCAAAATTATTTTTGCTTTTTTGTTTTATAAAAGCATTGGGATATTTTTTTAATATTATAAATCCTAATTGAGTTTAGATATTCCTAATTGTCCTAATTGAATCTTTATTCTTTATATATATATATATATTAAAATCTCTAATTGAGTTCAAGTTAAAGTTATCATAACAATTTTCTAATGATATTCTAGTCTTATTCCATAAAAGCATCAAGATTAGTAATGGAAATAATAAATTTCTTTTTTTAATAGAGTTTTAATACCCATAATTGAGTATTAGGTGCGATCTGGTCACTCTTTTCACTTATGTGAGGAGTGAAAGGTCTCGAGTTCGAATCCTCTCAATCACATTTGTTTTCACTAATTTGGTGAGTCAAAAGGACAGCTACTCATGTTGTACAACTCACAATATTATTTCGGACCCATAAAAACCTCCAACGAAATAAAAAAAAAATCCATAATTGAGTTAAAATTATTTGATTGATTTTAACAAGTAAACATATAAAAACATGTTGAAATCTAAGCCTTCATATCACCTTAACAAGTAAACACAATTGACTAATTTGCTTGTACATAGAAAAATGGAAGCAATTTAGAAAGTGATTAAATAAAAAAGGGTTTAATGGGTCCACTCTATTGGGGGTCAAGGTGGAAGTGTGAGAGAGAGGTGTTATGGTGGGACACTTTGTTTTGTACATTCAAAGAATATGCTAACATTAATTCTTTGACAAACCAAATCACACTTCTTTTTTATTTATATTGCTAGGGAATTTGAGAAAGAAAAAATTATTATTTTACCCTTGAAATGACTTAAATTTTGGCATATTTTATTTCTTTTAGATGAAGTTTTGAATTGTATGTTATCATTTATGAAAATATTTTAGACTCATCATGAAGTAGATGTATGTATGTAATTTATTAGCCAAATGCATAAAAATGCTCATAAATTTTAGGGTTGTGCTTTTATGGCACTCTAAAATTCTCAAAAGATAGATTATGCTTCCTGAATTGCAATTTTTAGTAACTAGATTCCATTTCAAATTTGATATATATAATTTTTAATAACAATTTTAGGGTCATCATGCCTCAAAGGTAATTATTTATATAAGAAAAATTGTAATTATCTATTATTAAATCTAATTATCTATTATTTTTAGTAAAGAAAATAATTTTTTTTTAATAGCAATTGAATCTTGACATTTTTTAATTCTTAAAATTATAATTTTTTGATTGTATTTTAATTCCTAAATTCCTAAATCATTTTATAAATTTTCAAAATTTCATGTTCTTATATATGTGCACTAATAGTAATATAAAGATTAAAGGGGTTACTTTGGCAAATAGTAAAGAAGAAAATACACATAAAATTAAATTCTTCAAAAAATCAATAATAATAATGAAAATAAAAAATAATAATAAAGTGGAGAGGCCTTGAAGAAAAAGGAGTCATGGCCCGATAAAGTTGCCGAAAAGT